CCCTGCGAAATGCTTAAGAAATCATGGGTTAAGAAATGCATAGTCTCAGAATTTTTATAAAAAAACCCAGAATGTCTATTCAAATCTTAGGATTTACATTGAAACATTAAGAATAATCGAGACTCTGGCCGAAAACTTAGGTTTTCTTAAGCATCGCCTAAGGTGTATATGGCCGCCTGTGGTGAAACTCCCACTCTCGGGCCGCCGGCCGTCGCAGTCGGGCCCGGACGCGGCAGAGAGATGGCAACATGCCAGTCGACCTAAACGCTGGCTGCGATTGAACTGCACCCTGTTGTTTGAGCTGGAGCATGAGGGTACGGCAGGTTCGTGCGGCGTCGGCGCGCGCAAAGGTTTCTGGCACCGCGTCGATCGTTCAACCTTGAATGAATCGCGGACCCGATCGTTCAAGGTAGAATTCCGTCGGGCCCAATGGCGGTATCTTGTCCCTCGGTGCTTCCGCGTCGCAGAATTCAACATTGAATGCCTTCGCCGGCGTCGCCGGCGCGCCAACGCCGCGCGAACCTACCGTAGATATGGCACCTTGTAATTGCGATGGCATGTGACCGATCTGCTCTATGAGCTCGATCATCCTGCAAGCTGGGCTTGCCTGCTCGTCATCCAGCAGAGCGAACTGGCGCGGGCGCGCTCCATCCCAGGTAGAGGCCGTGCTGTGAGAGGAACTCCTTGGAACCTTCTGTAAACGGGTCGGCGATATGGGTCGAGATGCCACTCTGTCGTCAAACGGGGGGACCCCGGTGGGGAGGATCGTCAGGATGGACGTCCCAAGTCTTGGCGAGACGGCCAGCCTCAACGTGGAGGATGTGCTGCGGGGCGCCCCCCCCCCCCCCCCCCCCAAAAAAAAAAAACACGCTGGCGATGCATAACAAGAACAAGGTGCCAAGCTTCGAGATTATTCGTCCACTTGTGCGCCCATCCCATACCTCCTTTCATGGGAGACTGAGCCCAGTTTCTCCATTCCGTCCCATCCTTACTGCGCTCGGCGGCAAGCTATGAATCGATAGCATTGCCGACTTGCTCTGTCAGCTGATCTAAAAACTGGATGCCCAGCTCTGCGTTGAGCTGCTGAGATTGAAAATGTCCATGCAAAAGCCCTGCGGCTGTGCAAACTTCCTGCCGGCCCTGGGCAAGGGCCGAGGAGGTGGCAAAATTAGCCTGGCGAAGGACCCAACCATATGCAGTTGAGAGTACCGCAATTGTGAATATCTTCTTCGGTGGCGCTCCCGATGGGGCCACGAGCCGTATGAGGGGTGTGCCGAAATGCGTGGCAGTGTACACAACACGAACGAAGACGATAGGTCCGAATATGAAAGCTTGAGCGCGTGCGAGTCGGATCGCGAGCGAGTCTGATTATGAATGAATCTGCGCGCGATTGATTCTATTCGCATGAATGCGTGCATGGATGCGCCCAGTGTAAATGTATGTATACGACTGTGAACAGTTTGGGTCTGCGTGACTCTCGGTACTCGTGACTCTGAGGGTCGCCTCTGCAGGGGGCTTCCCTGGGAACCCCGACGGCAGCGCCCGCGCGCCGCGACGCCCATGTCGGCACGCCACACACCTGGTGTGCGGGACGCATGCGGACGGCAGCACTGGGGCCTTCGGTGGAGCTCCCTGTGGGGCCACGAAACGTGTGAGGGGTGTGCCGAAATGGGTGTGCGGGACGCATGCGGGCGGCAACCATGGGGCCTTCGGTGGAGCTCCCTATGGGGCCACGAAACGTGTGAGGGGTGTGCCGAAATGGGTGTGCGGGACGCATGCGGACGGCAGCACTGGGGCCTTCGGTGGAGCTCCCTGTGGGGCCACGAAACGTGTGAGGGGTGTGCCGAAATGGGTGTGCGGGACGCATGCGGACGGCAGCCATGGGGCCTCCGGTGGAGCTCCCTATGGGGCCACGAAACGTGTGAGGGGTGTGCCGAAATGGGTGTGGGTGACGCATGTGGGCGCGGGCACTGGGGCTTCGGTGGAGCTCCCTATGGGGCCACGAAACGTGTGAGGGGTGTGCCGGAATGGGTATTTGTTTGCGGGACGCATGCGGACGGCAGCATGGGCTTCGGGTGGAGCTCTATGGGTCACGAACGTGTGAGGGGTGTGCCGAATATAAAGGGTGTGCGGGGACGCATTGCGGAGGGACGGCTGCACGGAGGAGAGGAGGAGTAGAAGGTGGGACGCGGTGGCGCTGTCCTCTTCAAAACGAGGACCAACACCACAGGTTGTGTTGGAAAAAAAGATCTCAAGAGGGCCCTCGAAGGGCCAAGGGTAGATGCCCTAAGATCTCCCCAGGATGCCCGGAGAGGGGGCCAGAGGGGGAACCAGAACATGACATTTGGAGCTCTCAGCCCAGAGGGCACCAGGAAGCCCCCCAGGAGGCGCCCCGAGAGCCCCCAAGAGGCCCAGAGGCCAAAATGAGGCCCCAAATGAGGCTCCCTGGACGCCCAACAGGCCCCCAGAAGACCCAAGAGGCCCCCAACAAGCCCCCAAGAGGCTCCCCAGAGGTCTCAAAACTGCTCCCCAGAGGCTCCCGCGAGCCCTCCGAAGATACCCCAAGAAGCATCAATGAGGACTCTGGCCCACAACCCAGGTACGTCTCGAAACTCTGCTGGAGCTCTTGAGCCATCCTGGCGCCCTCAGGGGCAGTCTATCGGCTCTCTTCGACAGGGTGCGAGCCACACCTCCAAAGATCTCCTCGAGGACTGCGATGCGAAATGGGCCGGCAGAATGAGCGAAGCGATTCGATAAGTTCGAACCCTGCTGCGCAAGATCCCCCGGACCCTCCAAATTAATCTTGAGGGTGCGACAACGGAGAAGGCATGATGGGTGGACAGAAATATTCAGGCATGATGGGTGGACAGAAATATTCGAACCCACTGACCACCACCCATGCTAAAATCAACATTGAGTTCGGGGGCGGGGGGGTGATGAACATCCCCCTCAAGTGTTTGTGAGGGCTCGAATTGTTGTCCATGTTACTGCATGGAAGTGGGGCAGAACGACGGGAAATCATATGGGGGGTCGGAGGGAGGAGGCAGAGAGAATATGGTTCTGAGCCTATATTCAGATGGCATGATTCAGGATGAACTCCTTCTCGCCCACCTGTACAGATTCATCATCACCCCCACTATCATCGTTACCGACATAGTTCTGGAGTCGCATTCAGAAGGGCCTCATGATGGCCCACACACACAAACACAAAAAAAAAAAAAAACCCAAGGCCTCGCCTGAGGGCCCGTTGAGGCGTGAAAGAATGCCAATGGCTGACTGATAGGGCTTCTTCTCTCTAATCAGGGACCCCACGGATGCCCGAGTTTCCTCCATGCACCGCAGCCCCTTCCCGCGGCCACGATCCTAGTGAAAAAAACAACGGATCCTCGCTCCTGATGCCACGATCCACTGTAGACAACGATGGATCCGTGTCCAGAACTTCCAAGAAGGCCCATGACAGCGAGTCGCTCTGCTTCGTAGGACGGGAGGCTGGTAAAGGCTCCGAACGTCGATGCTGGGGGGCATGGACGTGCTTAGCGTGTCGCGCCGAAGCGCGTTACGCCAGAACCAGTGGTGTGATTTCCTAAGCACACGTTACCTACCGTACTCATCCTCCTCCTCCTCCTACTCCTCCGCAGTCCGCCTCGCCCAATCCCCCAGTCTCCCTGCTGACTCCTCCATCCTCAAAGCAGTCGATGTTTGCTTGTTGTGGAGCCGTTCCTCATGGGCGGCTCGCCCGAACGCCATGGCCCTTGCAAGTTGCGCACACACATTCTCGCCCGGCCGAGCATCACAGCGTGGTGCCACAGCGTGGTCTCAAGGCACGGGGCGACAGAGAGAGCAAGAGGAAGACAGAGAGGGCGAAAGTACCTCCCGTGAAGCGCTTTCAATCCTACAGGTTTTAGGTTTACCCTCGGGCCAGTCCGATCACCATGCCCTCCGGCAATTCCTCTCCCTCTCCTGGAGGCCCTCGGCGACCCCACGAGAGGGGATCGGAGGCGAGCACCCGCATCAAAGACCGAGAGCAGCGACAGAAGCAAGACCAGGCGGGCGGAACACTTTTTCTCCCTGCGGCCTTGCGCTCGCCTCGCTTGTCTGCATGTCTTCTGCATGCCTTCTGCGCATCCTCGCTGTAAGTAGGACGGCGCTGGCACGCGCAAGATCCAGAGGGGAAGCCGGACGAATTCACGCACCCGGAGGCACCCCCTGCCTGTCCTCGCACGCCCCTAGGGGGGCGCGCGCGCACGGGCACCTCCGGAGCGGCAGCGCCTACGCGCCTCCCGCCTCCGCACGGGGTGTGTGCAAGAGGCTGAAATTGCGGCGAAGGTAGTCCCCGATGCTGAGCGGCTCGTACTTGGGCTCCTCGCCATCGCGGCAGATGCACTCCACTTTCGGATCCGAAGTCGGGTGCAGCGGCAAGACCTGCGTGCTGAAGTACGGGAGCGAGATGCGAACCGAATCGCAATTGACGTTCGCATTGACACGGTGAATCGTGCTGGTGAAAAGGTCATTGCTCCACCGGGCCAACTGATCGCCAATATTCACTGTAAATGCACCTGGGACTACTGGCACAGGGTGCCATTGGTACACCTTGCTCTCCTCAGACATCGTGCAGACTTCTAACCCTGGAGATGTCGTCAACAAGATGGTGAGCGGGCCCCAGTCCGTGTGCCCATCGCATCGAGCTTCCTCGGGAGAAGGCTGGCAAGGCCAGGACCACGCAGCTTTCATCAAGCCTCTGTTGAGCCCTATCTGATTGAAGAGGTACTGCGGATCAAGAGACCGCCCAGTTGCTTTTGACAAAGCGAGGGAGAGTATTTCCAGCATCACCTTCTCTACCCGCTGCACTTCGGAATAGTAGCTGTCGACATGGTGGCTGAATCCATCGACAAAAAAGTCTGGGTAGCTGTTTCACGTATGCTGAGCCGCCAGAGGTGTTCTGGGACGAACGAGATCGCACTCTATGAGACAGGACGGTTCGCGCTGGTCTCCCGAGTGAGACTTTGACATTCTCGCTCTTGTATGGAACGTAACCACGCTCGGTTCCGTGAAAGGACTTTGAAACGCATCGCTGCTTTTGCTCCACTGGGCTCCGAAAGAAGGTTTCGAGGGCAATTAGAGCAGAATCGATGATGTGTTGAGGGACCCCATGGCCTACAACGTTCATGAAGCCTGGGTGTTGAGCCGCAGCGAGGACCTGATCAACCACTGCATCTCTGTCAGCTTGCGTTGCCCGATTGACATGCACAAAGCAGGATATGTCCACCAGAGGTACTTGGGCAAGCGGTGGCACATTTGCAGAGGCAAGCCCCGCATCAGCCTCAGCAATCGCGCTATTGATTCGCTGCCACATCTGACGGTGCCCATCGTCCACAGGCTTTGGCGCAAACCCTGCAGCATCCCCAATTGCAGTCGCCATATTGCTCCTCCAGGAAAGGACCCAGATGTCAAACGGCCCAGGCCAACGACTGGATAGCGCCAAGACAGCTTGAGCCGACTGACTACAAAAGAAAGATGCTAAACCGGGACAAAGTTCTGGCAGGGTACCGGCTAGGTCCCAGCAAGGTCTCGGCAAGGTCCCGGCAGGTTCGGATCTGAGATGTCGGAACTCCTGGGCGCAGCTTCGGGCCCCCCCCCGAGCACCCCCCATGAGGCGCCAAAACGGTGGCACGCCTCACGGTCTCAGGCCGAGAGCGTTCCAAGATGGCCCACGTTGATCCCAACACGGCCGAAGAAGCGCCCAAGACGCTCCAGGAGGGTTCCAAGAGGACTTCGAGAGGCCCCGAAGACGCAAGATGTATTGAACGATTTTGACGGTACCACCTTTTCGAGCAGCTGACCGCCCTGGACGGCCCAAGAGGCAACAAGCTTGCTTCAAAACAAAATAAAGAACCTTACAAGAGGGCCCCCGAAGGGCCCAAGGTAGATGGCCCTAAGATCTCCCCAGGATGGCCCCGAGAGGGGGCCCAGAGGGGGAACCAGAACAGACATTTGGAGCTCTCAGCCCGAAGAGGCACCCAGGAAGCCCCCCAGAGGCCCCCGAGAGCCCCCCAAGAGGCCCCAAGAGGCCCCCAAGAGGCCCCAAATGAGGCTCCCTGGAAGCCCAACAGGCCCCCAGAAGACTCAAGAGGCCCCCAACAAGCCCCCAAGAGGCTCCCCAGAGGTCTCAAAACTGCTCCCCAGAGGCTCCCGCGAGCCCTCCGAAGAGACCCCAAGAAGCATCAATGAGGACTCTGGCCCACAACCCAGGTACGTCTCGAAACTCTGCTGGAGCTCTTGAGCCATCCTGGCGCCCTCAGGGGCAGTCTATCGGCTCTCTTCGACAGGGTGCGAGCCACACCTCCAAAGATCTCCTCGAGGACTGCGATGCGAAATGGGCCGGCAGAATGAGCGAAGCGATTCGATAAGCTCGAACCCTGCTGCGCAAGATCCCCCGGACCCTCCAAATCAATCTTGAGGGTGCGACAACGGAGAAGGCATGATGGGTGGACAGAAATATTCAGGCATGATGGGTGGACAGAAATATTCGAACCCACTGACCACCACCCATGCTAAAATCAACATTGAGTTCGGGGGCGGGGGGGTGATGAACATCCCCCTCAAGTGTGTGAGGGCTCGAATATGTTGTCCATGTACTGAAGGACGGTGGGGCAGAACGACGGGAAATCATATGGAGGAGGGAGGCGGCAGGAGAACTATGGGGAGGTCGGAGGAAGGAGGAGCATGAGCATGATTCAGGATGAACTCCTTCTCGCCCACCTGTTCAGATTCATCATCACCCCCACTATCATCGTTACCGACATAGTTCTGGAGTCGCATTCAGAAGGGCCTCATGATGGCCCCCCCACACACACAAAAAAACCCAAGGCCTCGCCTGAGGGCCCGTTGAGGCGTGAAAGAATGCCAATGGCTGCCTGATAGGACTTCTTCTCTCTAATCAGGGACCCCACGGATGCCCGAGTTTCCTCTATGCACCGCAGCCCCTTGCCGCGGCCACGATCCCTAGTGAAAAAAACAACGGGTCCTCGCTCCTGATGCCACGATCCACTGTAGACGACGATGGATCCGTGTCCAGAACTTCCAAGACGGCCCATGACAGCGAGTCGCTCTGCTTCGTAGGACGGGAGGCTGGTAAAGGCTCCGAACGTCGATGCTGGGGGGCATGGACGTGCTTAGCGTGTCGCGCCGAAGCGCGTTACGCCAGAACCAGTGGCGTGCTATCCTAAGCAAACGTTACCTACCGTACTCATCCTCCTCCTCCTCCGCAGTCCTCCTCGCCCAATCCTCCAGTCTCCCTGCTGACTCCTCCATCCTCAAGGCGGTCGATGTTTGCTTGTTGTGGAGGCCGTTCCTCATGGGCGGTTCGCCCGAACGCCATGGCCCTTGCAAGTTGCGCACCAACATTCTGACCCGACCGAGCATCACAGCGTGGTCTCAAGGCACGGGGCGAGAGAGAGCAAAAGAGGAAGACAGAGAGGGCGAAAGTACCTCCCGTGAAGCGCTTTCAATCCCACAGGTTTTAGGTTTACCCTCGGGCCAGTCCGATCACCATGCCCTCCGGCAACTCCCCTCCCTCTCCTGGAGGCCCTCGGCGACCCCCCGAGAGGGGATCGGAGGCGAGCACCCGCGTCAGAGACCGAGAGCAGCGACAGAAGCAAGACCAGGCGGGCGGAACACTTTTTCTCCCTGCGGCCTTGCACTCGCCTCGCTTGTCTGCATGTCTTCTGCACGCCTTCTGCGCATCCTCGCTGTAAGTAGGACGGCGCTGGCACGCGCAAGCTCCAGAGGGGAAGCCGGACGAATTCACGCACCCGGAGGCACCCCCTGCCTGTCCTCGCACGCCCCTAGGGGGGCGCGCGCGCGGGCACCTCCGGAGCGGCAGCGCCTACGCGCCTCCCGCCTCCGCACAGGATGTGTGCAAGAGGCTGAAATTGCGGCGAAGGTAGTCCCCGATGCTGAGCGGCTCGTACTTGGGCTCCTCGCCATCGCGGCAGATGCACTCCACTTTCGGATCCGAAGTCGGGTGCAGCGGCAAGACCTGCGTGCTGAAGTACGGGATCGAGATGCGAACCGAATCGCAATTGACGTTCGCATTGACACGGTGAATCGTGCTCGTGAAAAGGTCATTGCTCCACCGGGCCAACTGATCGCCAATATTCACTGTAAATGCACCTGGGACTACTGGCACAGGGTGCCATTGGTACACCTTGCTCTCCTCAGACATCGTGCAGACTTCTAACCCTGGAGATGTCGTCAACAAGATGGTGAGCGGGCCCCAGTCCGTGTGCCCATCAATTCGAGCTTCCTCGGGAGAAGGCTGGCAAGGCCAGGACCACGCAGCTTTCATCAAGCCTCTGTTGAGCCCTATCTGATTGAAGAGGTACTGCGGATCAAGAGACCGCCCAGTTGCCTTTGACAAAGCGAGGGAGAGTATTTCCAGCATCACCTTCTCTACCCGCTGCACTTCGGAATAGTAGCTGTCGACATGGTGGCTGAATCCATCGACAAAGTCTGGGTAGCTGTTCTCACCGTATGCTGAGCCGCCGAGGTGTTCTGGAGGACCGAACGAGAAGCACTCTCTGAGACAGGCCGGTCCAGCGCGGCCGAATAAGACTTTGACATTCTCGCTCTTGTATGGGACGTAACCACGCTCGGTTCCGTGAGAGGACTTTGAAACGCATCGCTGCTTTTGCTCCACAGGGCTTCGAAAGAAGGTTTCGAGGGCAATTAGAGCAGAATCGATGATGTGTTGAGGGACCCCATGGCCTACAACGTTCATGAAGCCTGGGTGTTGAGCCGCAGCGAGGACCTGATCAACAACTCTATCTCGGTCAGCTTGCGTTGCCCTACTGACATGCACAAAGCAGGATATGTCCACCAGAGGTACTTGGGCAAGCGGTGGCACATTTGCAGAGGCAAGCCCCGCATCAGCCTCAGCAATCGCGCTATTGGTTCGCTGCCACATCTGACGGTGCCCACCGTCCACAGGCTTTGGCGCAAACCCTGCAGCATCCCCAATTGCAGTCGCCATATTGCTCCTCCAGGAAAGGACCCAGATGTCAAACGGCCCAGGCCAACGACTGGATAGCGCCAAGACAGCTTGAGCCGACTGACTACAGAAAAAAAATGCTAAACTGGGGCAAAGTTCTGGCAGGGTACCGGCTAGGTCCCAGCAAGGTCTCGGCAAGGTCCCGGCAGGTTCGGATCAGAGATGTCGGAACTCCTGGGCGCGGCTTCGGGCCCCCCCCCGAGCACCCCCAATGAGGCGCCAAAAGGGTGGCACGCCCCACGGCCTCAGGCCGAGAGCGTTCCAAGATGGCCCACGTTGATCCCAACGCGGCCGAAGAAGCGCCCAAGACGCTCCAGGAGGGTTCCAAGAGGACTTCGAGAGGCCCCGAAGACGCAAGACTTATTGATGTTGCGTGGGTTTGGGGACGATTTTGACGGTACCACCTTTTCGAGCAACTGACCGCCCTGGACGGCCCAAGAGGCCACAAGCTTGCTTCAAAACATTATCCTGGCGAAGGACCCAACCATATGCAATTGTGAATACTGCAATTGTAAATATCTTCTCGGTGGAGCCCCCTACGGGGCCACGAAACGTACGAGGGGTGTGCCGAAATGGGTGTGCGGGACGCATGCGGGCACACCCACTGGGGCCTTCGGTGGAGCTCTCTATGGGGCCAAGAAACGTGTGAGGGGTGTGCCGAAATGGGTGTGCGGGACGCATGCGGGCACACCCACTGGGACCTTCGGCGGAGCTCCCTATGGGGCCACGAAACGTGTGAGGGGTGTGCCGAAATGGGTGTGCGGGACGCATGCGGGCACGGGCCACTGGGGCCTTCGGCGGAGCTCCCTATGGGGCCACGAAACGTGTGAGGGGTGTGCCGAAATGGTGTGGGACGCATGCGGGCGCGCCACTGGGGCCTTCGGTGGAGCTCCCTATGGGGCACGAAACGTGTGAGGGGTGTGCCGAAATGGTTGTGCGGGACGCATGCGGGCGGCAGCCTGGGGCCTTCGGTGGAGCTCCCTATGGGGCCACGAAACGTGTGAGGGGTGTGCCGAATTGGGTGTGGGGCATGCGGGCGGCAGCACGGGCCTTCGGTGGAGCTCCTATGGAGCCACGAAACGTGTGAGGGGTGTGCCGAAATGGGTGTGGGTGACGCATGCGGGCGCGGGCACTGGGGCCTTCGGCGGAGCTCCCTATGGAGCCACGAAACGTGTGAGGGGTGTGCCGAAATGGGTGTGGGTGACGCATGCGGGCGCGGGCACTGGGGCCTTCGGTGGAGCTCCCTATGGAGCCACGAAACGTGTGAGGGGTGTGCCGAAATGGGTGTGGGTGACGCATGCGGGCGCGGGCACTGGGGCCTTCGGTCCCTATGGAGCTCCTATGGAGCCACCACGAAACGTGTGAGGGGTGTGCCGAAATGGGTGTGGGTGACGCATGCGGGCGCGGGCACTGGGGCCTTCGGTGGAGCTCCCTATGGAGCCACGAAACGTGTGAGGGGTGTGCCGAAATGGGTGTGGGTGACGCATGCGGGCGCGGGCACTGGGGCCTTCGGTGGAGCTCCCTATGGAGCCACGAAACGTGTGAGGGGTGTGCCGAATGGGTGTGGGGACGCATGCGGGCGCTGGGGCCTTCGGTGGAGCTCCCTATGGAGCCACGAAACGTGTGAGGGGTGCCGAATTGGGTGTGGGTGACGCATGCGGGCGCGGGTACTGGGGCCTTCGGTGGAGCTCCTATGGGGCTACGAAACGCTGTACTGGGTGGGTGAAACGCAGGGAAGAGGGGGAGGAGGGAGGAGGAGGGGGGGGAGGAGGAGAGGAGAGGAGAGGAGACGCGGGGACCGTTTCTTCAAAACGAGGACCCAACACCACAAGATGGTTGGGAAAAATACACACCTCCCAGCGATGCCAAGACACGGTGTTCTCTCGGGGGCGCGCAACCATGGATTAGCGCTCCATGGATTCGGCGCGCTGTCGCCAGATCCATGAATCGGGGGGGCTGCCCTCCCCAAAACGCCCCTCGTGCCGCTTCAATCGGCGGCGGAAATCCGCGATCTCCCATGGAAACGGGACCAGTCGCTACTCCACGTCCCCCTGACCCACGTTTGCGATCGCCCGATTCTCGCTCTGCTCCAGTTTCGAGGTGCTCCGTTGAGCCGTTCTGCGAACCGTCGTCTGGCCTGCCTCCGTGCGCCCCTTCGGCAGGCCTCGCGTCCTCCCCAGGGACGCCCTGTTCTCCCTGCGGGGGTCGACGGAACTGGCTGTCGGGCCTCTCCAACAGGAAGGCGCCCGCATCAGATTGGCATCTGGGAATCCATGGGCACCTGCTTTCAACGAACGGTGGGTGGCCACCACCAGACGCCCACCTTAGAGTGGAGTCCGAGAGTCCAAAGACCCCTACTTTCGAAGAGCGGCGGGTGGCCACCGCGGTCGATGGAGGGATCCGACCTGCTTCACGAGCAACTACTTTCAACGAACGGTGGGTGGCCACCGCGGTCGGTGGGAGAAGAGGAGGAGCAGGCTGAGGACCTCTTGGCAAGGAGAGTAGGGCGGGCAGCCCCTGGCTCCCCTCGTTGGGCACCCCGCAGCGGAAGAGAGGGCAACTCCACCTCTTCCTCTTCCTCGTCTCTCCCCTCCCTCTCAAGTCCCTCTGCGCCTCCGCCTCCTCCTCCTCCTCCTCAACCTTATCTCCCCCTTTCAAACACCCGCAACGAAGAACATAACTCCACCTCGCGCTCCTCCTCGGGGTGAGGTGAATCCCACCAGCCCTTGCCCTCTGGGCGTAGGTGGTCTAGGGCGGTTTCTCTTCCAACCCCTCCCTCTTCCCCTGCGGGGAGGGGTTATCACTGTCTCCTGTTGATACACACTCCCTCCCCCACCCGGCCGGCGGCCGACACGGAACCATGCCAACCCCATGAGGGCCCCCCCCTCCACCACCCTTATCAGAAACAAATACACAAACGCACTATGCCTCCACATTTGGAGCATGCGCGGCCGCCCGGCGACCATTTTGCATTGGTATTTTACAGGGACGGCTGGGGTGCCAGCAGATCCCAGCCCGCCTTCTGGGCGCAGGTGGTCGACCACTGGTTTGACGCTGGTTTGACACATCAGTGGCTGCTGCCTTTTCGCCTTACCGTCTCCGATGGGATCTTGAAACCTCCACATGGCTCCAACATCGGGCACCGTGCCGCACCTGGCGCGCCTGGCTCGCTTGGGCCTCCAAGGTGTCCGGTGCATCTGGAGTATGTGGCGTCTGCGGCGTTCTTACGCGATATGCTGACGCCCAGGTGTTACGTATGTGTTGGGAGGGCGGGTGGGAGTGAGCAAGATGGCTTGCGGAAAGGTGGGAAGTTTGAGCCTTCCCACTACCCCATCCGCTGGATCTGGAGGGGAGGGGTTCGCGAACGGTCAGAGCATCTAAGATGGCCCAAGACAGCTCCAAGAAGGCCTCAGAGAGCCCAAGATGACCCCCAAGATGGCTCACGATGGACCAATATGGCTCAATATGGCTCCCGGGATTCTCCACGAGGCCCCAATACCACTCCAAGACGGCTCCGAGTGGCCACGGAGCCTCCCCGGGGAGGCCGCCAAGAGGCCCACATCCTTGAAACACCTAAGGGAAATCAGAGAGTTGTGCCTTCTCGCCGTTTTACTTTCGATGGCCCTCCGAGGACTCAGGAACGCAAGACGCTCCGAGAGGTCCCCGAGAGCGCCAAGAGGCCCCCAAGACGCACCAATAGGCCTCCAAAAAGCTTCCAACAGACATCCGACGAGACTCTGAAAAGCAACTCGCCCAAGCATCGTTTCTGGATGGGCTGGTGGGGATGCGCGAAGCGTCAAGAGCTTCCAAATTTTGGCTCACCCGCAAGAGCCCTGCCACACACGCACAGACGCGGCCCCACCGCGTTCGTGCCCCGACTCGCAGCGGAATTGCCTATGTGCCACCCGCCCACGTCTTTGCCACCTTGGCGTCCACTACCAGCGGCACCTTCAGCTCCAAACCATCTAGGAAAGGGCGTTCCATGATGTCCTTGACCACGGCCAACGCTGCGGTGGCGTTCTCGGCGGGACCCTCGAAGACGAGCTCGTCGTGAACCTGCATCACCACTGCGAATTCCAAGCGTCGCAACTCCTCGCACCCGTGAGCTTTCAGCATCGCCTCCACGACGATGTCCGCCGAGCCGCCTTGGATCGGCGAGTTTGTGGCCTGCCGTTTTGCCACGATGCGCTGCCACCGTTCCTCATGGAGCCAGGGCAACAATCCCGGAGTGATCCTCACCTCGTCTTCGCGACACTTCGGTTGAGCACAATCTCGGGGGCTCAAGCGAGCGAGGTAGGCGGAAAGGAAGAGGTGAATGAGGAGGGAGGGGCGGGGAAGGAGGAAGAGGAACTACATCGGGAGGAGGAGTAGCCCGCCCGCTGGAGCCCATGGGGCTCACTGGAGCCTTTGAAACTGCGGATCAAATTCGGGGCACCACGCCGTCCCGCCGGAAGTGCCACGAATGCAAAGCAGGACCTTGGAGGCCGTCCAGATGCGGTCGGAGTAGATGGGGCAGAAGATCGAAACGTGGGATCGGATTTATCAAGGTCCAGATCGCACCGTGTCGCCGATGCATCGGCGGAAACCGACAACAAATGATGTTGGGCAAGCGACTTTTGCCCCGACCGGGCAACGTCCGCGGCGACACAAACAACGAGTCCTGTCAATGGGGGGAGGCGCTGCCGCCAATCTTCGTTCCGTGTTTTGACGAGTCCATTTCGGATCTCCAGATCCCAAGCCTGCGTCGGGGGAAAACGACAAGAGACAACAAAGAGGGTGATTCAACCGCTTCGAATCGCCCACAATTGCCATCGCTCGGTCGCCCATTCCCCGTGGCATGTTTCGGCTTCTTGCGCTTACTTTTTGCAAGCTGATCCAGGGGTCTCCTCGCTGGTCCTCGCCGGGGAATACATGCACACGTCCCCAAAAAAGGCAAACGCAAGACGTGAACGTGATGTGCGGCATCTCACGGGATCCAGAACCCTCCAGCAGCAGCACCGCTGTCGCGCTGCGATATGCGCGCCGCTAGCCCGCGCTGATGGCTTGGGGCTACTACTCCCCCCGCAATCCTGGACCCCTCAGTCTGCAGATTGCCCGCAGACTACCTGACGATACAACGGCTTAGAATCGCCGCAAGACGCGAGCGTGGTACGCGACAACGCACGGGATCCACAACTCTCCCGCAGCATCACTGCTGTCGCGCTGCGATGCGCACCGCTGGCCCCAAACGCTACGATAATCGTCGCAAGACGCAAGCGGGGTGCGCGAAAGCTCCCGGGATCCGGGGCCCTCCGGCAAAAATCGCTGCGTGATCGCGCTGCGAGGCGCGCGCCGCTGGCCCGCGCTGATCGCATAGGGGGCCACTTCCCTCCGCAGTCCTGGACCCCCAGTCTGCAGATGGCCCGCGCGCTATACCTAACGCCCATCGTCTTAGTGGGCACGACTGAAAGGGGATGGCTATACATGGCGGGGCAGCGAGGGCTGCCGAGAAGCCTTGTGGGGCCTCAAAAGATCTTTCGGACTCAGAGGGGGGCCTCGAGGGCTCCAAAAGGGCACCTTTCTCCCCCCTGCTGCTCGCCCTCCAATTCTGAGGGGGGACGGGGGGTCCAGCTCAAGGGGGAGCATCGAACCGGAATCCGCGATGGATTGCTAATGGATCGGCGAACAAGCTTTCGATGCGGAGGCCGGCCGCACGTTCCTGGGCGGGGCCCCAGTCGCGGATGCGTGGGCGATTGAATTCCTGGGCGGGGCGGGCAATCTTGCAATCAAGCCCTCATCGGCGATGAATGGTCGCTTGGGCGTCGATGCGGTGCCCCCTAAACCAAACCCCCCACAAGGGTAAACCAAAACAATGTTCTGCGTTTCCGTGTCGCGTTGCCACCAAAACAACCCGATCGCATGCCCAAAACTGCGTTTGGCGCATAACCCAAATGGTGATTGGCCAATCGTACCCCCCCGGACGAAAACACAACGAAAACGCAGTGGCAAAGACCACGACTCACTAGTTAGACCAACTGAATTATCCAGGCATGCAGCCTCACCATCTGCGGGCCCGAGTGCCGGAAGGCAGGCGGGACGAAGGAGGGGCAGGTCCTCTGGGTAAACGACGCGTGCGTGTCAGAATTGGCGCGGGGACGCCATGCGGCCATGCGGACCCTCCCGCTGAGGCCATCGGTGGAGCTTCCGATGGGGCTGTGAGGAGCGTGCCGACATCAGTGCGGGGTTTCGGTGAATCTCCTTTGGGACCACGACCCGCGGGATGGGCGTGCTGGAGTGGGGGCGCTCCCTACGGGGAGCTCCCTGGGGGGTCCCTACGGGGCCACGAATCGCGTGAGGGGTCTGACGACTTGGATGTGGGGCCTCCCCGCGGACCCTGCCGCAGGAGCTCCCTACGGGGCAACGAAACGTGTGAGGGGTGTGGCGACATGGGCGCGGGACCGCCATGCGGACCCTGCCGCTGGGGCCTTCTAGAAGTCAAACAATCCACCCCCACAGTAACCACCCCGACATGCGAAGTCGTTTAGTAAACGCGCCCAAAGAAGGAATCGAACAGGGCAACACTGTTGAATAAACGCCCCAGGCCGTTTGATAAACGCCAATTATCGGGTCCCGGTGATTGTTCCTCCGTTGACCTTCGGTGGGGCTCCCTACGGGGCCACGAAACGCGTGAGGGGCGTGTTGAATCTGGTGCGGGGATGCGGACCCTGCTGCTCGTGGTCTCGGTGGAACTATCCATGGGGCCACGAAACGTGTGAAGGCGTACCGAAATGGGGGGCAAGGGCTGTTCGAATCTATCCTATCCTTCCGCAGCCGGCTTGAGATATCGAGCGTAGCCATAGCAAAGAGGCCTCCGCCTTCCCTCGCGCGCCCGCGTAGCTTTTCGTGGTCGCGGAGCCGTGGTGAACAATGCACGGACCGAGGGTACATACCCAACCCAAGTAGGGCTCTGGGAAAACTCGCTGTCGAATCGCATCCCCAACCCAAATTAGGGCCCCCGGGAAGATACTGAGAATCAAAAACAATGGCAACAGTGATCGGCACGAAACTTTTAGGACATAGTCTAAAACATCTCGTGGGTGACGAAGGTGAGCGGAACGATAAGTGTAATCGGTTCGAATCCTATTGTGGGGCGCTGCGAACTAAGTGGTATTGCTGAACATACAACAAACAAGAGGGCATGCGAACCCCATCGCGCCCGCAGCCACAAACAAACATGTACAGCAACACTCGGCAAATCTAGCACCCATTCGACAGAGCGTGGTGCATAAAGAGATGATGACAATATGGAACACGATGACCTAGCACGGTGTGATAGTTAGCGTGGTTACGAATCTGCCGGATTTAACACTCATCTGTACGAGACGTACACAAACTTCCAATATCATATCGCAACTTAGGTCGGAAACGAACGGGTCTGGACGAATCCGTCTGGAGGAAACTATAAGAGCTCTAAGAACATGGAAATATATTCGTTCGAAGGTTTCCTGAAGAGGATCCCCAAAAGAAGACCACAAGGGCTCTCCCAACTGATCCCCCAAAGGCACCCCAAGGGTACTCCGATCAGATATTCCCAAGGATCGCGGTCTGGCCGTCCCTTCATCCTCCAGGCGAGGGCATGGTTCCCCCGTCCAGGTCCAGGGCTGGCACCAAAATGGCCCGCCCGACAAAGGTAAGGATCGAACGAGCATTGGAGGCAAAGGTAGGGGCCACTCAAACGGTGAAGGCAACAGTGGTTGGAGTCAGAACGCAAACAAGAGGCACGACATCTGCAGGATGAAATGTCATTGGACATCCGTATAGATTTACCCATGTAGGGAAACGCCGCTCAGGGAAAGGAAGCCATCCCAACGAATAGGCCTGGGATCAAGACTCTTCGGGTCCCCGGTGGTCTTGGAGCGCGCAGGGCGATTGAAACCAAGGTTGCGGAAAGCAGCAAGATCAATGCGACCCGCGCTCCCCAGGGGAGCTCGCGGCTCTGCTTCCAGGCAGCAGCTTTCCGAGCGAAAGCGACAGCGAGTCGAGAGATTCGAACGAGCGTCCCTCACGCGAGTCAGCTGAGCATGCCGAAAGCTCCCCCGGGACAGAAGCACAGGTCCACAATGCACTTGCTTTTGAGCATGATGCTGCGGCGTTCTCCACCGACGGTGGCAATGACGACGGCGCGCCGAGCGAACCCCATGGAAACTCCAATGGAAACAGGCCTTCAAACGGGCCCTGTGGCCGAGCAGGGCGACGATTTCCGCCGCTGTCCTGAATGGTTTCTGATGGCAGGCTCAGATGACGAGGGCGACGGTCCCAACCGCGCCCGTCGCAAGGCCGCCGAGAGCTTTCCAGGGGCGACACTATTCGTGATGACGGTGTGCTTGATGTTGCGCGTGGTGCCGCTTCGTGCAAGCATGGTTTGAAATGTGCGGCGCGTCTTTCCATGTACCCGCAAGCGCGCCAAGTGCGCGTCGGCCAATCGACGGGCTGATAATCGCACGGACAATTCTGATCTGAATCGTGATTGAGCTGAGAAAAGGTGATCTAAGCACCAGCATGTTTCTGGACAGAATCTCACAAGAACGGACCACAGTCGCGTTATTTGGCGACTTCGCGCCGAGATACTCCCAGGTCCATGCAGATTCTGGAACGTTTGACCACGTTTGCAAGGGGTCTTTCGCGAGACATTTTCGCGCGGCGAGGTCGAAGGGTAAAGGGGGCGAGACAGCGCCGGGAGGTCCAACGACGCGGATTGGGCGCGACGACGCACCGATACATCTGATCGGCCACAACAGCACGAATACCGATGTTGTAGGATGTTTCAGCGCGTCCGAAGAGGCAGCTGCCGCACTTATCAGCACGGGCAGACTCCCGAAACGAAAAACGCATGTCCCAAAGCCGCGGCCAGGGAAAGGACAAACACTCCAGCGCCACGAAACGTGCGCATGTGTCGATCGGACAAAAATCACGCAAATCACCCCACGCCGACCATTGCAGTCAGCTGCCCCCCGGCCGCTTGAAGAAACGCCTGAATAATTGAGAGTTAAGTTTCCCGCTAGGATGAGGGCAATTTAGGACACCAGCCCTGAGGGCGAGCCTATGTGGCGGCGCCCAACGTGGAGAAATTCCAAGCGCCAGTGCGACATTTGCCAAATAATTCCGCGCGCGCGCAAGAATCGCAACGGACTACGCATTGCTCAACGAAGCTGGTAGATTGGACGAAGCTCGAAATGCCAAAGGACGTCCTCATGCCAGGCAGGACAATTACGTTGTCCGCGTATCGCGAGGGGAACGAAGATCCCCAAACAGCCCTGACACGAACGACGTCCCAAACGGCCTCCCAGGAGAAGCTCGACAAATTCGACGCCCACAGGCGCGCAGAGCCCAAGCGACATTCGCTCAACATGCTCCTCTGGCAACAACCAACCTCCAGCGCGCGCGCAGACGCTGCCAGGGCCAAGCGCGTCATGGATGAGGCCGCGCAGTGAGCGCCAACGCTCCAGAAGCTATTTTGCGCCCAAACACAGCGCGAGATTCAGCCGGGCCAGCGCGGCCTCATAAGTTAACGCGTCAAGGTTGAACAACTTGTAGATGGCAACGTGGGCGTTGATCAAGTGACAGATAACGCGCGAAACGTTGCGGTTGCACTGTGGATGCAACGTGAACCGTTCAGGATGATCACTGCGATTCGGAAATCTTCTACTCGGTCGCCCCCTGGGCCTCTGCAAGAGCAACCAGGGGAGGGGCGGGGGCAAGCGGTGGCACATTTGGGCTGTTTGATCGCAATCGCAATTGACGTTCGCATTGACACGGTGAATCGTGCTCGTGAAAAGGTCATTGCTCCACCCGGCCAACTGATCGCCAATATTCACTGTAAATGCACCTGGGACTACTGGCACAGGGTGCCATTGGTACACCTTGCTCTCCTCAGACATCGTGCAGACTTCTAACCCTGGAGATGTCGTCAACAAGATGGTGAGCGGGCCCCAGTCCGTGTGCCCATCAATTCGAGCTTCCTCGGGAGAAGGCTGGCAAGGCCAGGACCACGCAGCTTTCATCAAGCCTCTGTTGAGCCCTATCTGATTGAAGAGGTACTGCGGATCAAGAGACCGCCCAGTTGCCTTTGACAAAGCGAGGGAAAGTATTTCCAGCATCACCTTCTCTACCCGCTGCACTTCGGAATAGTAGCTGTCGACATGGTGGCTGAATCCATCGACAAAGTCTGGGTAGCTGTTCTCACCGTATGCTGAGCCGCCGAGGTGTTCTGGAGGACCGAACGAGAAGCACTCTCTGAGACAGGCCGGTCCAGCGCGGCCGAGTAAGACTTTGACATTCTCGCTCTTGTATGGGACGTAACCACGCTCGGTTCCGTGAAAGGACTTTGAAACGCATCGCTGCTTTTGCTCCACAGGGCTTCGAAAGAAGGTTTCGAGGGCAATTAGAGCAGAATCGATGATGTGTTGAGGGACCCCGTGGCCTACAA